TTTGTTAACAGTTTCATATACCTTTATGGTAAAATTTTTATAAAAAAAAATAGGTTTTCGTTAAATACAAAAGGGAATAGAAAGTAGTGTTCCATTTTGTTGATATTAAAAGGTGAAATATCAGAATCAGATTGTAAATTTGTTTTGATTATAAATAAAACTTCTTGGTCGCATTTTTACACAAGTATGAAAAACAAGAACATCCTGTATATCGTTAAATATTTGCACATTAAAAATTAGGATCGTTTGTACATTTCAACGACAATTTTATGCATTTTTGATGTCGGAACAGTATTTGGGCCTTCGGCTATCCAAATAACCCTTGAATATGATGATTAACACGTTAATATGTCTCATCACTAATTAGAAAGCAAATATACTAATCTTGTTCATTATAATTTCACAGGTTTCGGCCCTGTGTTATAATGATGGCTCGTATTATAATTAAATAATGATCCAGACCATTTAGTATTAACGCAATAATAATAAAGAATGCTTTGTTTATAGGGTCAACACAATTTTAGTGTATGTATTTATATATATACAGGGTGTCTAACAGTCTGAGCAACACTTTTTGAATTTATGCCATGAGTTCCACCGACTGAATGATTATTTCATACTTTTCAAAGTACTATCGGTTTTAAACTCTTTCAAACATCTCCCCAACTATCCTGGAATTGATACTTCTAATTAAAAATACAACTGGTGTAGTGCTGGGTAAAACTGTCGAAAATTATCGATAACTATCGATAGTTACCAGTATATTGATATATTCGATAATTATTGATATTTATCAATACAATATATCAATATTTATATTATCAAATGAATATTTATCGATATATCGATAAATTGATAACTATCGGTATTTATCGACTATGTATATCGATATACTTTCCAAAATTAAAAAAGAAAAATTTCTGTTATTTAAGGAGGAAGTTGAAAATTGCAAAATTCCACCCATAAGTATTAATATTAAGGTTCATATTTTAACAGGATCTATGTCTAGGTATACTCTATTGTTTTTTCAATGTTCACCGAAAAAACAATCAATTTTTTTGAAACACCTTGATATTGATATATTGGTAATTATGGAATTTTTTACATATTTCTGAAATAATAAACAGTTATGGTATAGGGGTTTATTTAGAAGCAATATGAGTTGTATGTTTTTTAAATCTAACGTTCGTTGTTCCACGACTTTGGCCTATATACCAATTTTGTACATTTGATACTATAAGTTCCTGCTTCCTCCTAAAATGTTACTTTGTATTTCTTGGATTATCTAAAATTATAAAATGCTAACTTGCTGATTTACATAGAATGGGTCACAATAGTGATTGCCTATATTATTTTTTCTTTAAAAATACATATGCATAGATCCACGAGGCTAGCACAATATGACGCAGTATATATTTATTTAAATAGATATTAGGCACTGAATGTAAACCCCATAATAAAATAAATACAATTTAAAAAATAATTTTGTAAACTAGAAAATAGCCACTACATATAATAAGTATAATACATATGTATAAAAATACAATAACACCAAATTTTTCAATTGCACAGTTAATACGTGTGTGATTAGGTGTTGTTAACATTCGGTTGTGTTTGGCTTTCGTACGCTTCTATAATCCTCAGAGCCTCCGGTGGTTTCGGTTGTAACCTTTCTGTCTTTGTGATAGGGGTGAAATCCAAATTTACTATCTGAAAAGCCAGGCCAAAGTAGAAAAGTTAGAAACAACTTGGAACAAGGACCAAAGGAGATTATGTTTCGTTTAAAATATTTTTATTGTTGCATTAAACGATTAAAACTTTACAAATCGGATGTATTCTACCTACATTCGTATCTCCTAATACCGTGTTTCAAGTACAATCTACCACAAAAACAAGCCTCGTAGAAAAATTTGACTTTTATTGGAATTTTTGAGAAATTAGTGTTTATTTAGACTTTGTTATAGTAGGGATATAAGGCAGAGGATAGCGCAGGGTAAAAAGAAGTCACTTCTATGCTCGCAAACAGTAAATTTAGAAATTCGAAAAAGGTTGTTAAAGGTGTACCTATGTTAGGAGCGCGGCGCTGTACGGGTGCAAAACATAACGGTGGGCGCGGCGAAAAGGAAAAGGTTAGAAGCGTTCGAAATGTGGTGATACAAACGAATGATGAGGATACCGTGGATAGAGGTTAAAAATGAAGAGATATTAAAAAGAATAGGAGAACAGAGGACTCTATGGAAGTCAATAAGAAATAGGCGAGATAGGTTGGTAGGACAACTTTTCAGGCATGAAGATCTAGTCAAAGACATATTAGAGACAAAAACAGGAGTTATAAGGAGTAGAGGTAGACCTAGATTAGACTATTGTTCGCAAATAGTTAAGGTTGTGGGATCTATGGGGAAATGCGAAAGATTAGCTCAGGATAAGAAAGAGCGGAGGTGCGTGTCCAATCAGTCTTAAGACTGACGACCTTATGATGACGATAGTGTTTGTTAAAAAACATTGCTCCAGTTGTCTTGCCCCCAACCCCCACACCTTATTTCTTGGTTTATATACATATGTTGTAAAATATTCAATTTATTTTACTTTAAACAACTTGTTACTTACCTGGGGCAAAAATGTGATCAGAAAGTTTCTGTACGCTCTGAAGTCTGCGATAGGGTTCCCGTGAAATGTCACACTTCTTAATTCCTTCAAATTCCGCAACTTGCAGACTTCGTTTATGTCGGTGATTTTGTTACCATGAAAATAAACAATTTTCAAATTTGTGAATTTTAAAATACTCTAAAAAGTGTATTGGAACAGTTCTGAATAATTTCATATTTTTTTTACGAATCAATTTGTTTACGCACATCGTCTATATTTGTGATGTAATTGAACGAAAAGTCGATCCATCCTAATTTTTCAGGTTGTTCCAAAAGTTCCTGGACTAAAGTGTCCATGTTTTTTATATTCGTTAGTTTATTGTTATTCAGCCAAATTGATCGGGTAAGGAATCGCTTATTAACGCTTCCCTTTTCAGGGATGGAGCCGATCCTGGATGACCTCGCTCCCTGGACCTGACTTACTAAAAAAAGGACCCAAGTTGTTACCTTCAACGTTTCGGTGAGTTTTTATAAAACGTTCTTTAAATACACATATAATTTTACTATTTGCTTTCTGTCAGAACTTCATGTTTTCCTTACTGTCTAATTTTGTAATTTTTTTAAACGAAAAGTCCAAAGGTGTGGCCGTGTCTTCCTCATTTTGGCCAATGTCTACCGGTTTTCGTTCTTTTTGCTGTTTTCCCTTCTTCTGTGTTTCATCTTTGCCCATTTTTTTTTTTTAAAGAAAATAGTAAAATATCCTTATGACATTAAAATACTTTGTCACATTATAAAAAAAATGTTAAGAATTGATTTAAAAATCGCAATGTCTTTTGTTTTGTCATGACAAACGCAAAAACTGGCAACTATACAGGGTGTTTCACCTAATTTTTGTCCATAATTCTGTTATTACGCTTTTAATAAAAAAAATGTTTTTATAAAAGTTGTCTGGAATCATATGGAGTATATAGAGAAAATATTTTAAGACTTACATGGTGCTCCATTTCTTCTAGACGCTACCTAACTTCGTTATTTTAAATGGAACACCCTATAAATTTTTACATTTTTTGCTTCTTGCATTAATTTTAGGTCGACTTTGTTAACAGTTTCCTGTACCTAACTCTAGTAGTTTTTGAGATATTCAATATAGAGATATTTATAAAAAAATTGTTTTTATTAAAAGTATAACGACAGAGTTATGGACGAAACATCCTTAAGTGGAACACTCTGTATAGACTATTATTTTATCGAGAATTTAAGTGGTAATACCCCATCAAAATTTTTAAAATAAAACGAAAAAAACAGGTATTTATTAAATACTAAAATCAATATTTGTCCTTTACTATTTAAATTTCTTTATAAACAACTCACAGTGCAGTAAATATTTTATTCTTACCTTCTAATGTCGTTATGTTTTTGAAAGAAAAATCTACGGGACATGCAATTTCCAACTCCCTGTCTTCATTACGTTTTGGCATTTTGTGCACTCGTCATTGATAATTTTCAACCCGATTTAATTTTTTACATGAAAATTTTACATGAAACCCCCGAACTCAATAATCAGAATGACATTTCTAGAAAAGTAATTCAAGTTTAATTTTTATCTGTCACTTTGTCTGCTTAATTGATTGAAAAGTAAAGGGGTAGAAAAATTTTCGTAATAAAGAGTTATTTTTCTAATTCGTATATAAGTACCTGATTTATTTATTTTTCATCACATCAGTATTTAAAAAGTCGATACGTTGTAATCGCTGCGACGAAAGTGTTAAAAAATGCCAATTCAGGTGAACGAAATTTCCTCCAATCAATCATTTCGTTTCTGTTTTTGATAAAGGATTCATTTTGTACAAGAATTTAACTGAATAACTGCCCAGTTTTTCGCACAGTATTGATTACAAATATCAACCATACTCGTTATAAAACTATAAAAAGGAAAAGTTATGCTTAAGGCTTATCTGTATGCTAATGACATTCACATAGACAGAACGTAATTTAAAGATGGAAATTCATCAATTTGCTTCGATGAAACCAAAATTACAACTCAATTATAGACTTTTTCTAAATTGCCCGGCGCCTCCACCAAAATTTCCCATAAAATTTTTTAATAATTGATGATAATATTTGTGTATCTTCACGAATTTCTTATTGTCGATATTACAACAATAATTTACAATGATAATGATGAACTAAACTCTCCTAATTAGTAATTACATACTTTCTTATCAGTTTCAAATAAAAATGTGGTACTTAAATATTACTAATTAATTAATTAATTG